CATTGTCGTCTTTAATTCGTTAATCGTATTTTCTTTGACCTCTTCAATCATTGTAACTATTAGTTTTTTTTTTTTTTTTAGTTCTTTGTCTAGAAGACAAAGAACTTTCAGTATACTAGGATCTGTCTCTAGCATTGCATTATGAGATAAGATAAGTTTTTGGTGAATTATTAATTTTTGGAGACATTTTATTGTCTTGTTTTCTCATGGCTATGTGTTTTTGTGTTGAAGGTTGTAGGTCAGTTGGGACAGAAAGCTCTACGTCTCTACTAGAGATGTCTTCAGTAAGTGGATTTCTCCCAGTTCAGAGTATAGGCACCAATTCAACCAATTCAGAGTACTGGGATCAGTCTTACTAGGATCAGTACTAGGATCAGAACAAAGAGTTCCCACTGCATTATGAACTGAGAACATTCCTGGTAATATTAACATTCAAAGAGCCAATCGTATATCAACACATAATATAAAACTTGTTTTAAAAGTTTCAATAAAAAAATAAAAGTTTCAATAACCCAGGAAGATGAGGGAGTAGTAATGATGAAGAATATGATGGGAATTAGGAGAAGAAAAATGAAAAGGAAACAAAAGAAAAAATAGGTTTTGATGATACTATTTTTATGCCCAGAAAGAAAGGAAAAGGCAAGAGGTTTAGGAGACTGTGTGTGAGGTCAGAAAGAAAAAAAAGTGGAAAGTGTGAGAGGCTTTTTGAAGATTGGTGTGAAGCCCAACTAATAGGCTACCCATAATCCAACACTGGAAGATTCAGGAAGCAACCCTTCGTGAGGAAGCACCTGACAGGTTGATCTAAATCTCTATAGAAACTAAAACACTGACACTCATACACAGTTTCTCTATAGAAACTAAAAAATTGACACTCATACACAGTTGTATATACTCATGTGCCTCCCACATACACTGTAGGAGTGAGGAGGCCAGAGGTTCCACAGCCTGCTGAATATCCTTTCATACCATCTCCAGTTCTAGAAGTGGCCCAGTGCTCTATCAGCTCAGATGGGAAGGTACCTCTTCTGCTGTCATGTGTGAGGAGTGGCTGAAACTGGAGATCAATCACACATGCAGGGCTGGAGCAAGGCCAGTCCCGAGAACAAAGAGTTCCCAAGGCAAGCCACATGAACAAGCTATTCCAGCTGTGGGAGGAGAAGAGCCCAAGGCAATCCAAGCAAATAGGATGCTAGGCAGTGGGGTGTTACATGACATCAAACTGCCCAGTGTATAAATAAATGCACTGCAGTTCTTGAGCAGTACCTTTTCTCCCATCAGGAGAGAGGGCTCTACCTGACCTCAGCTTTTGGTTTTCTAACTCTTGTCTTTATTTCTTCATCCTCTACTATCGTTCACCCCCAGAATTTCGAGAGCTCTGCTGGACAGAGCAGTCATGCAGGGAAGGGTCTTTTCTGGTGAGTGACTACATCTCTGTGATATGCCCTGGATTGTGCATATGTCTCCATGTGAGTTTCCATTTGGTTCTTTTTTTGGATGCTAAGTGACCTCCTACCACTGCTGGTGAGTGCCTCAGAGTGACTGATGTATTAGTGTTGTTTCCTGTTAAGCTACTGTGATGGGATTTCAGAAAACTATCTTTTTTAAGGTGCTCATTCTCTCCAAGTTGATTTATAGTCCCAGCTACTTGGGGAACTGAGGCAGGAGAATTTCTCAAGCTTAGGAATTTGAGGCCAGATGGAGCAAAATAGCAAGATCCTATTTAGAGTGATATAGCACCATAGGAAAATCCATACTAGAGTACAATAATCCACATTGTCTGGCCAAGCCCTTTGTTAGACCTTTTTCCCAACATGTATTCCCTGTCTTCTCCTGATGACAGAACTTGAATTTTCCTTTCTATCTACCCTCAGTTTTCAATTTCCACACTTCTGGTGGAACTGATTCAACTGTTAAATCAATCAAATGACCAATAATTATGGATTATTTTCAGTTTCAATGCTGGTCCATTGGTACAGTCATACCAGGTATGTGTGTCTGATCTTATGCCCAATAAGTCAGTTTCCACATGGTAACAATTGTTAAATTAGGAATGACACTATTCTATCTAATCAGAACATTGCATACATTGGTAAGAATTGGTTCAGGATGGGCAAATGAGTCAAGCCAAGACAATCACCAGTTAGCACTAGTCCTCAAGACTTGTTTGATTCACCAAGAAAGAGCTTTTTTCTTCCAATATAAGCCTGAAACCATGTGGTAAAGCTTGCCTATGAGTAAACTAATACAGGATGAGACAAAGGTGAGCGGTATGGAATGAGAGGTTAAGTCCTGATTATATCATTTGAATCCTTTGTTACAAGCCAATAAACTCCTCTGTCCTACTTCATTCAGCTTAAGTGGGCTTTCTGTCACTTGCAGCTGAAAGACTTCGAGTAATGTTTCCCACCTAAAGTCGGCATCGAGCATCCCAGTTTACAGCTTCTACTTTTGTCACCTATACTCCATTCTCCATACAGCAGCCAGAGTGATCTTTTTATAATACAGAGCATGGTAAATCTCTGCTTAAAATTCTTTTAGGGCTTCCTATTCCACTTAGGCTAAACTCTACTTAAGACCCATAAGAACCTATTTCACCCCATCTTTCCAGCCTCAATTTTGTTGTATCTCTTCTTTACTTACTACTCTGCAGCTATGACTTACTTTGATTACCACAACATGTAAAACTTTTACACCTCCAAGATTTTGTATGCGCTGTTTCCTTTATCTGGACTGATCTCCCCATTTTTTGCCTAGCTGGCTGCTCCTTCTTGTCTCACTTCCCTAGAAGGGGCCTCTGGTGCCACCCATTCTAAAAAGAAAATTACCTTTGTTATTCTCTCTCATAGTTGCTTTTTCATTTTCCTTCATAGCGTTTATCAGAGTGTGGTATTATGTGTGTATTTACTCGTTTAATGTCTAAATTTACTTCTGTGTTTTATTTTGTTTTTTGAGACAGGGTCTCCTACGTAGTTCAAGACTAGTCTACGCTGGCCTCAAACTTGAGGCGATCCTCCCAGCCTCCCAAGTACTGGGATTACAGGTATGTACCACCACGCCCAGCCTAAATTTACTTTTTAAGTGTCTCGATCCCTCACTAGACTTAAATTCCACAAAAGCTTGAGATCTGGTATCTACTCTGTTTATCATGATATACTGAATACTTGCTACAACGCTTGGTACATAGTAGTTATTGAACAGATATTCATTGAATAAACGAATGAATGCATGACACTATGCTTAGATGTTAGCTTAAAATAACAAAAGAAAATGATAATTTCATTAAAAGATTTAACTGCTGTTAGGGTTTGTGTCTGGATGACCCCCCAAATCCTCATGCAGTCATGGGGCAGGCTTCTAAAGTTTTTGATTGATCTATAGTCCAACTCTGGGATTTTGGCTGTGAGTGCTACACCCACCCCGGCAGGTAGTTTACATATAATGTAAGGGAGGGAAAGAGGCTGCTTGCTGCAACTCCTCCCTTTTGCTCTTGTTGCTTTTGCTGTCTTCCACCATCATGAACTGTTGCCCTCTGCCATGTGCTATTCTGCCTTAGAGCCAGCCAAGTATGGATTGAAACCTCCACAAACTGTGAGCTAAATAAAGCTTTCCTCTTTAATTTTGGGGGTCAGGTATTTTGTCTCAGCAACAAGAGAAAAATAACTAAGACAACTACAGACCAGTAAGAGATCCAGACTACAGAGAGGACATAACAGAATCTGGATTCATGAACCTACAAGTGGTAGAGGACATATGTGGTGGATAAGTCTAAAGCTTCAGGCTCAATTTGGGGAACATTTGTTCTTTCCTTAAGAATAAAAGATCTTAGAACCAGATAGCTGAAAGATGGAAATACAAGCCAGCCTAGATCCAGGGAATAACCTAACTCTTACTGAGAAATAAAACTCTGACTCAGAGTCCCATCATATCCAGAAACTGAGCTAATATAAATCTACTTGAAGTTTATGTTTCTTGTTTGATATTCTAAGACAGTACTGGGATATCAGCTAGAGAAAGAAAATGGAGTGTTTTATAAGCTAAACTGATCAAATCAATTTTTGGCTGACTCATTCAAGTCACTCATTTCTTTGCTTTTAAAGGCTATTTAATTTCCCCTGTTTCCTACCATAATTTCCCTTGGAATTCTTTAAATTTTCATTTGACTGTCTTTAACAAAAAAGAGTACAGTTTCCAACCATACTTCAGCCATCATGGGTTAGAAATCAGTTTATCCTAAAGGTCAAGTCTGATGACAGTGGTAACAAACTGTCAACAATATGGAATAGGTAAAAAGTACAAACCCACAAGAATGAAGTAGCACTGCTATCAACCTTCTTATTTAGACTCCATTTTCTCAGTGCCCTTTTGTCCCTCCATTTCGCACTACTATAGTATCAACTAACTGTTTAGTTCTTCACAATTAACCAAGTGGTCAAATTTGTGGGAGGCATATGTTTTCACACTTTGCATTTGTAAATAAGAATTTCTATGCTAATTCCCCAAAGTTTCAAGAGTCTATCAGTTCTATTTTCACAACAATATAGCAAAGATAGTAAGCAACAGACTTGTACTGCTAATAATACTTGAAAATGGAAATGTGTCAGTTCTTTGCTTATTTCATTAAATCAACACATTTGTTTCACAATATGTTTTGCTATAACTATTTTGAAAGAAAATACTTTGGAGGTTAGACTACTGGGAAATTTAAATAGCATACTTGTATGACAGCATCTTAAAATGAGTAGAAAATACCAAACATTGCACTAATTATTTTTTGTCTATAAACAGAAACTTCCTTCTTTGCACTCCCAGATTGGTCCTAGTACTGTGGAGCCCAGCGAAGCACAAGGCCTAAGGGTAAGTGTTCTGATCCACAGGGCCTTACGGAGGCTGTTTAGAAATTGTGATTGTTAATATTTTCACAGGCTGGCTGGCTATAACAGGAAAAATTATGCAAAAGTGATATATATATATTTAAAAATAAGCACAAAGGAACTTACTCTTCTTCATGTTTCGCAAAATTTTCAAACTCTACAAAAACAAACAAAAGGGAAAAGTTAGTTTTTGTCTAAAATTCAAAACAATTAAATAGAAATAAGTCAAAACAGCCATGAAACACAAATTATTTTTTCATCTTGCCATTTTTAATTCAGTACAAAACCTCCACTTGATTTTAATCTTGCTGTTCTTCCCACCTAAGTATCACGCTACATATTTAAAATAATGCTATCAGAGTATCAGGAGTGAAAATTAAGTTCCCACTTCTCTCTGTTATTAGGAACATTCCAGAACCCACAACAGCATCTGAACATACCTATGATACATAGTCATTCCCATTCCAGCCAGGAATTTTTGCCAATCTTAATCTGTACTCAACTTTCTGTTAGGCCTACTTCTATACAATCAGCCATGCTATGTCTTTTTCCCACCTTTCAGCAAACCATGTCCTTAGATTTCTTTATGGTGGCATCTCTACCTTACCTTTTCCAGTAACCTACTCAGATTTCTTTCCTTCACATTTCCTCAGCAGGTTTTTTGTTTGTTTGTTTTGGTACTGGAAGTCAAACTCAGGACTTGTCAGGCAGGCAGTGTGCTACTGAGCTATGTCCCTAGCCCAGCAGGTATGTTTTTAATCTATTTCATGGTTACTGTGTTCCTGATAATTTTCATATGGGTTTAATATAGGTGCTCTGTTCCAACAGATTAACTATATATTCTTTTCAAGAGCAGGTAGATGTCTTTTATGACTTATCTACTTTTCTAACACCTAAAAGAAATATGATATTCTGCAAAATATTTAAAAAATTCCTTCCTAAAACTTTTTTAGATTTTTAGAAAATTATTTATTTATAATTCAAACATCTTAGTAAAAATGTTCACATCTATGCTGGACGTAGTGTTGCATGCCCGTACTCCTACCCACTAAGGAGGATTATAACTTTGAAGTCAGCCTGGGCAAAACAGCAGTACCCTGAAACACACACACACACACACACACACACACACACACACACACACAATGCTCTCCTGTTTTCCATCTACTCAGTTTCTAACCTTTTCATATATAACTTAGTTTCCTATGTATCCCTCCAGAATACTTACAAGTATGTAAATAAATACACATATAGAAAACATTTGCATTTCACTCTTTTTAGCTGCATACTATCCCATTATACATATGTGTACAGTATAATTTATAATTTATTTAATTGGTTCCTCTAGTGATTAACATTCATGTTGTTTCTTCATCATCTGCTCTTACAAATAATGCTGAAGTGAATACCTGGTATACACATAATTTCATGTGTGTTTTTATATATGGAAAATAAATTCCTAGAAGTGAAATTGTTAGGTCAAAGGATATATGCATTTGTAATTTTGATAATACTAAACTGCCCTCCAAAAAAATTGTACCATAAATAAGAAAAAGAAAAAACAGAAAGAAAAAAAAAAAGAAGTTGTACCACTTTACATTTCCAACAAAGTAGGCACATGCGGGCTAGACATGGTAGTGCATCCCTGTAATCCTAGCTCTCTGGCAGCCTTAGTGACTTAATAAGGCCCTGTCTCAAAATAAAAAGTAAAAAAGGGCTGGGGATGCAGCTCAACGCAAAGGCTTTGGGTTCAGTGTTCAGTGACTCCCATACACGCGCACATGCACACACACACACACACACACACACACACACACACACACACACACAATAAACATATGCTTATTTCCACTTAGCCATAGCGTCCATAACAGAGAGTGTAATCACACTTCTGTAATTTGCCTTTCTGACAGATGAAAAACAGTATGTCCCTGTGGTTTTAATCTGTGTTTCTCTTATTATGAATGAGGTTAAGTTTATCAAATGTTTAAAGGGCAGACTGTGCTTATTTTCTTTGAATGATCTATACATGTATTTTTGCCCATTTTTATTCTAAGACTATTATTGTTTATGAATTTCTAGCAGTTCTTTATATATTAGACAAGTACCCTTAAGGTTATGATGGCAATTGCAGATGTTTTTCTCCACTTTGTTCTTTGTCTTTTTTTTAGAAGACTATTCTATTTCAAACCTTTGAATTCTGTTTTGTTTTTTGTTTTCTTTGAGACAAGGTCTCATTGTGTAGTTCAAGGCTGGCCTCAAACTTGTGGCAATCCTCCTACCTCAGCCTCCCAAGTGCTGGGATTCCAGGAGTGTGCCACCATGCCCAACTTTCTGATACACACACACACACACACAAACACGCTCTCACCCAACTTCTTTTTTTTTTTTTTCCAGTATTAGAGATTGAACCCAGGGCTTTTGTACTGAACTGTTATTTTTTTTATTTTGAGACAGTGTCACTGAATCACTAAATTGCCCGAGCTGGGTTTTAATTCATGATCCTTTTGTCTCAGCCTCCCAGAGTTCTGGAATTATAGGCATGCACCACTATGCCTAGCTATCTTTTGTTTTTAAAATGATTGTTTTTTTCCCCATGCAGAAATTTTCTGTTTCATTTAGTTGAATTTATGACTTTTTTGTTACAGTTTCTGAATTGTTAGTCATATTTATAAAGGTCATGAATATTTTAGGATTATAAAGGAATCTTTTCAAGATATTTTAATACTTGTATAGGTTGGAAGGGTGTGTGTGTGTGTGTGTGTATGTGTGTGTGTGTTGTGTATTTTAACATGTAAATCTTTTAGCCATCTAGAATTTATTCTGGTATAGAAGTGAGTTACAACTCCTATTTTTTTAGGTGGTTGGCTACCTAATCCAACAATTAAATCGTCTATCCTTATCACCTAATTTTAGGCACATCTGGGCTATATAGTAAATTCCTAAATATTTTGGACCTATTTCTGGACTTGCCCTTCTATTCTATAGGCATGTTTCTTTTCGTTCACCAATATCACACCATTTTAATTATTGTGGCTTTACAGTGTTTTCATATCTGGTGAGGGTACCCTCCATTCATTGCATTTGTTTCCTGGCTTACTTATTTGCAATTTTTTGGCTGGTTTTTTTTTTTTTTTGTACCAGTAATTGAACTCAGAACCTCATGCTTGCTAGGCAGGTGCTGCACCACTAAGCTATATCCCCAGCCCCTTGGCTGTTCTTGATCTCTCCTCTTCCCTCAGATGAACTTACAGTTTGTCTAGTTCCAGAAATAAACAAGTTGTAGTTTTATTATGCATATTTATAAGTCAGCCTTAGAGAGAAATAAATTCTTAATGTAGTGGTATTTTCTCTTGTGTGTTTTGTTGGTTGGTTTGTAGCCCAGGGCCTTGAGTATGCTAGACAGGTACACCAGCCCTGAGCCATACCCATCCATTGTCTTTTATTTTATTTTATTTTTATTTTGAGACAAGGTCTGTTTTTATTTTATTTTATTTTTATTTTAAGACAAGATCTCACTAAGTTGCCCAGCCTGATCTTGAAATTGTGATCCTCCGGCCTCAACCTCCCAAGCAGCTGAGATTACAAGTGGGAGGTACCACATTTAGCTGGTTTCTTTTTATTAATTTTGATTGTTGTGAAATCATCAATTCATCTGAGTAAAAACATTTACTCTGATTTTCTATATTAACACTGCGAAAGGAAAAAAGTCTTCAGTAAGGAAAGCTTCTGGCATATTTTCTAAATCTTCCGCTTTTTCTTTTTTACCTTACTCCTTGTGAAATTTTTTCCAGTAGTCTTCATTATTTGTTTTGAAGATGTTGAATTTTCCATGGTTTCAGGACAGCTAATTGAATAAGTTTCTGTAGATTGGGTCTGCATAGCTTAAAAAATAAAAGAGAAGAAGTGTTTTGTGCATACTTTCTTAAACCTTTGGTTTATATACAGTATATATTCAATAATTCTTCTCTTGGCTTTTTAAGGCATTAGTTTTGCTGTATATTGTGGGTTTTAGAAAGTGTATTTTATCTTTATTGAACTATTCTTTGCATCTTTTCCATTTAGGTCTACTTTGTGGTTAACTTTTTAACATTGTAATTTTTATTACTTTTTAGAATGAAAGTACGTACTACCACTTACAATCTTCATCAGCAAGAAAGAAGGACTCTAAGGTTCTTTCTGGGAGTGGAGGTGGAGAAGGAGATGAATCTTGACGTGCAGCTATAATGAGAAAAGTATACAACAAATCAAAAAAATCCATCAATTAAAAATCATAAATCAAGAACCTTTTTAGCATTACATAATTTTTGCAATTAGTCAATCTTAACCTACAGCTACCAAATAAAAAATTATTTCAACAATTACCACACTCAGGACCTTTGTCCTTCTGCCTGTTTAGCCAACAAGCCCACAATTCATCAAACACTTATAGATCACCTACAGATGTATTCTTCCAAAGAAATTTAAAACTGAATTTAATCAAGCTTCTAGATCTAACGACTATTTTATAGGAAATGCTGGAGATAGAATATATGTTAAATAAAAACATGGAAATACAATTAGTCAAAGCCAGAATGTTAAGCACTCTTAAGGATAAATTATCCACTCTCTGTAACAAATAAATATCATGAAAAAAATGTAAAAAAAAGAACTGTTACAGATTTTAAGTGTTAGGAAACATAAATAAAATACAATATGTAAACTTTGAATCTAGATAAATCAACTATAAAAAGGCATTTATGAAGCAATTGGAGAAAGTTGAACAAAGCCTAAATATTAGATAATCTTAAGGAATTATTGTTAGTTTTATAGGCATTACAATATTATTATAGTAGATTTAAAATGTGTTTGAAATTTTCCATGATAAATATTTTTAATGGAGCTGTTTTCCCATGATGTAAACTAAAGATACAAATGATGTTCTTTCTTATTATATAGTGCTGAGTATTATTTTACTGTATATTAATACCTTTTTTTTTTGGTTCCAGGGATCAAACTCAGGACCTTGCACTTACTTGCCAGGCAGGTGTTTGTGCCACTGAGCTATATCCCGGCCCCTATTAATACTTTTTGAAAATGAAAATGCATTTCAATACTAGTTTCACTGTGTTTTTAAGCCTTAGAATTTGTCTATAAAGCAAGTTTCCTTCCTTTTTCTTTCTTTCTTTCTTTTGTACTGGGAATTGAGCCCAGGGCCTTCACATTGTAATACACCCCCAACCCTTTTAAAAATTTTTATTTGTGACAGGATCTTGCTAAGTCACTAAATTGCCTGGGCTGGGTTCAAACTTGCAATTATCCTACATCAGCCTCACAGAGTGCTGAGTTTACAGGCATGTGCCATCATGCCTGGCCTCAAGTTTTCTTATTTCTTATATGCCAGGTAATATACAAAATACAGTCGTAATTTCCAGCACCTAAGACAATAACTGACATGTAATAGGCATTTAATAAATATTTGATATAACTATGTTGAAGTAGTTTATTATCTTCCAATTTGCTGTTACAAAATATTCTGACAACTAAAGCTATCAGATATCAGATATCTTCCTAAAATACCCTTTCATCTGGTTGCAGGAGGGTATTTGTTTTGTTTTGGTGATACTGAGGATCAAACCTAACAGTGCTCCATTACTGAGCTATACCTTTAATTTTTTATTTTGAGACAGGATCTCACTAAATTAGCCAGGTGGGACTTGAGATTGCTATCCTCCTTCCTCAGCCTTCTTCTGTGCTGAGATTACAGCCATGCACTACCACAACTGACCCATTTCAGTCAAGGATTCACAGTTCTATTGTTTACTGCGTTAAATCTTAATTCCTTGGCCTACCTTTATGTGTGTTGTAAAATATAGGTAAGCTTTACCATTAATGACAGTAGTACATTCAATGTTGTACGATCATTACCACTATTCCAGAATATTTTTATCATCCTGAAAGGAAGCTGTGCATCCATTAAGTAATCATTCTCTTTTGTTTTTTTTTGTTTTGTTTTGTTTTGTTTTTGAGACAGGGTCTCACTATACAGTTCAGGCTGGCTTTGAGCTCACTTTGTAGCTCAGGCTGGTCTCAAACTCACAATAATCCTCCTGCCTCAGTCTCCCAAGTTCTGGGATTACATGCATGCGCCACCATGCTCAGCTGTTTTGTTTTTTAAGACAGAGTCTTGCTGTGAGATGTAGGCTGGTCTTGAATTCACTATGTAGCCCAGACTGGCCCCTACCTTGCTGCAGTCCTCCTGCCTCAGTCTCTCAAGTGCTAGGATTACAGGCTTATGCCACCATGCCCAGCTGAGAAATAATTCTCTACCCCCTACCCACTGGCCACCATTGATCTACTTTCTGTCTTTATGGATTTGCATATACTGGATATTTCATCTGAATCCCTTTTAAGTCCTTCAGTATCTTGCCATGTCTTAGCTACCCAAATTTATTTTCTCTGTCTCACAAACTAGAACTTCTGTTGCAATAAAAGTAACATACTCATGGGCTGTGGATATAGTTCAGTGGCAGATCACTTGCCTAGTGTGTATGAGGCCCTGGGTTCAATCCCCAGCACCACTACTTAATAAGTGACTCACTCCATATCTCTGCACACATCGTGTTCATCTCAATGTTTGAGTCATTGGTAGGCTGATCATTCACTGCTCCTGGAATTCCCTCCTCTTGTCTATTCAGATCCTTAAAAAATTGTTCTTTTGTCAATGAAGCCCTTCCTAACCACTCCAATGGTACCATTCTTTTTGTTCAGACCACTGGCGATTACACTCAATGTCTCAGAGATTATCAATGCATGGTTCCACGTGGATATTAATTTTATCTACTTAATTTGAATGTAAGCATTAAGTAGTGCTTTTTATTGTACATCCTGCCTATTCTAACACCGTAAGGTACACAGAATTTGCTTAGTAAATGCTCATTTAATGATTAGCTAATAAAATTTATAATAGGTAACATTTAATGATGGTATGTTATTTAATAAGCACTGTCTTAAAAGTTTTTTATTTCAATTCATCCTCACAAAAATCCTCTACATGGTTTTAGTATCCTCATAAATGAGAAAAATCAACAGTTCAGAGAAAGTACATAATTTAAACAAGGTTAAGCATTTTGATAATTTGTGATATACTGGGGTTTGAATTAAACCTGTCTGATTCCAAAGCCTGTTTTCAAACCTGCATTTTATATTACCTATTTGTTTTTAATAATATAACTGTTGCTCAATGTATATAAAATAAGCAAAGCTCAAGAAAGTACTAGAAATGTAATAGCAGGTCAAAACACCAAGTGGCTAGAAGTAACTTTTTAGAATCTCATTGATAACAATGGTAAGATCTGTATGATGGAAATGCTGCTAAATTTTTAAATTTTAAATTTATTTTTAATTGATACATGAATCTGGGCGTGGTGGCACACACCTGTAATCCCAGCACTCTGGAGGCTGAGGCAGTAGGATCGCCATGAATTTGAGGCCAGCCTGGGCTACAAAAGCAAGTTCAAGGCCAGTCTGGACTACATAGCAAGATTCTGTCTCAAAAAAACAACAAAAATGGGCTGGGGATTTAGCTCAGCGGCACAGGGCCTACCTGGCAAGCACAAGATCATGAGTTTGATTCCTGGTACCAGAAAAAAAACCAAAACAAACCAAAACAAACAAGCAAACAAAAAAACAACAAAAAATTGATACATAAAACTTGAATATATTAATGAGGTATATGTGATGTTTTGATATATGTGTGCATTATGTGATATTTAAATCAGATTAAACATATCCCCTCAAATATTTATCATTTATTTGTGAGGAAAATAAGTCTTTTTTTCTAGCCTTTTGAAATATATAGTATATTGCCAGGCATGGTGGCTCACGCCTGTAATCCCAGCACTCAGGAGGCTGAGGCAGGAGGATGGTTGCAAGTTCGAAGCCAGCCTGGGCTACAAAGTGAGCTCAAGGCCAGCCTGAACTGCATAGTGACACCCTGTCTCAAAAAACAAAACAAAACAAAACAAATGAAATATATAGTATATAATTGTTATCTGTAAGGGGCTGGGGATTTAGCTCAGCAGCACAGCACCTGCCTGGCAAGCGCAAGGTCATGAGTTCAATTCCCGGTACCAGAAAAAAAAATAATAATAATTGTTATCTGTAGTCATCCGGCTGTGCAATAGCACACTAGAACTTCTTACATCTGTGTAATCATAACTCGGTATCTCCTGCTCTTCTGTCGTGTCTGGTAAGCACTGTTCTATTCACAACTGCTATGAGATCAGCTCCTTCAGATTCCACATATGGGTGATATGCAGTACTTGGCTTTCTGTGCCTGCTTTGTTTCACTTAACATAATCTCTGTCCACCTCCATCCATCTTGGTTTTTGTTGGGGGTTATTTATTTAGTGGTGCTGGGGACTGAACTGAGAGTCTTGTGCATGCTAGGCAAGCACTCTACCAATAAGCTACACTTTCAGACCAGTTCCATACATATTGTTGCAAATACAGGATTTCATCTTTTTTCATCTTCACTGAGCATATGGATCATGCTTCCTTTATTCATTCACCAGCTAACAGACACTTAGGTTGTTGCCATTTCTTGGTTGATTGTGAATAGTTCTGCAGTAAACGTGGGGCTCTAGATGTCTCTTCAACATCCTGGCTTCATTTCCTTTGATTTAGATCTAGTAGTAGGACTGCTGGATCCCATGGGAGTTCTATTTTTTGTTTTTTGATGAAACTTTGTAGGTTTTTAAATAATGGCTGTAACAATTTACATTCCTACCAACAGTATATAAGGGTTTCCTTTTCTCCACATTCTTACCAGCACCTGTTTTCTTCTGTCTTTATGATAATGTCTATTCTTAGTGGGGTAAGGGGATACTTCAGTGTGGTTTTGACTTGCAGTCCATAATGATTAGAGATGTTGAGTATCTTTTCACATAACCGTTGGCCATTGCTATTTCTTCTTTAAGAAATGTCTGCTCAGGTCTTTTGCCTTCCCCCATCCCAGGCCCCCTTCGGTGCTAGGAATTCAACCTAGAGATTTCATCCAGAGCTACAGCCCTAGCCCTTTTCAAAATTTTTATTTTGAGACAGGGTCTCACTAAGTCATTAAGTTGCCCAGAGTCGGCTCAAACTTGTGATCCTCTCTCCTTCACTTCCCAGAATGCTGGGATTATAGACATGCCCTACCATGCCTATTTTCTCTATAGCCCATTTTTAATTCAAGTATTCTTTTTTTTTTTTGACTATTGGATTTTTTTTTAGTTCCTTACATATTCTGGATATTTGCTCCTTGCCAGATCTATAGTTTGCAAATATTTCCTTCCATTCCATAGGTTGTCTCTTCACTCTAATGACTGTTTCATTTGCTTTCAAGAGTTATTTTATTTAATGTAATCCCATTTGTCCATTTTTGCTTTTTTGTTTCCTATGCTTTTGGAGTCTAATTTTTAAAAAAAAAATCCTTGCCCATTCCAGTGTTCTAAAACAGTTCTCCTGTTTTCTACCAGTATTGTCATAGTTCCAGGTCTTACATTTAAGTCTTTCACCCATGTTGAGTTGCTTTTTCTAACTAATAAAAGAGGTCTAGTGTTGCTTCTCCACATGTAGGTACCCAATTTTCCCAGCAGTATTTATTGAAAATACCATCCTATGTGTATTCATAGAACTTTTGTTAAAAATCAGTTGGCTGTAAATGTATGAGTTTATTTCTTTCCATTCTGTTCCTTGGTCTTTATGTCTATTTTTATACTAATACCATGCTATTTTGATTATTACAGCTTTGTACTATTATTTTTAGGTCTGGTAGTGTAATGCTTTCAGCTTTGTTCTTTTTGCTCAAGTTTGCTTTGGCTATTCAATTTTAAAAGATCCTATCTGAAATAGTATTTTTAAAAAGTATATATGAAGGACCAGAATTTTAAAATCCTAACTTCACCTTGCCCGTAGGACAAGAAAATTCCTAGTCTTGCAAAACCAGAAATAAATCAATAAATAGCAGCACTTATTATGAGAATCATGAGCCTCTTTAGGTGAATTACTCTAAATTTAATGAGCTGTTCTTAAAGATAGATTCTTAACACTAAGTATCATCTAAAGCCAAGAAAAAATTTTTACCTGCTTTGGAACTCCGGAGTTTTACACTCTAAAAGAAAAAGGAAAGAAAAAATATGAAAAAATATATACATATTATACAAATTCAAAGCAATAAATAGAATTTTGAAAATTATATTTATATATTTATAAAGATAGTTATGAAATGTAGATCCTATTTTTCCTAATTAGTAAGTGTGTTGAATTATAAAAAGGTATCCTTAACTGTTACAGTGATTTTTATGTCATATGGCAATTAGTCCTAAATTGATCCCCTTCTAACTTCTTTTCTACTTAGAACATTTTGATGAAAATTTATTTGGAAATAAACTGTTGAAATTGTAGTTACTTGATGACATTGGAAAGGGAGAGGGAGTGATTGTTCTGTCCTGTAAGCACTGAGAGAAAGACCACTATATATATGCACATTACTAACAATAATGATGAGGTACTAGTACATTTTTATTTATTTATTTATGGCACTGAGGATTGAACCAAGCCCTTGCTCATGTTATGCAAATGTTCTATCACTAAACTACATCCCTAACTCTTATTAATTTATTTTGATACAGGATCTCACTAAGTTGCTAAGGCTGGCTTCAAACTTGGAATCCTTCTGCCTCATTCTCACAAATACCTGGAATTACAGGTATGCACAACCACACTGAGCACTAAAATTGTAATTTTTAAAAGTAGAAATTATTTTCCCCAGTATTAGAACTGTATGTTTGTTAATTACTTTTTTTTACCATTTTCTTTTTTTTTTTGGTACCAGGAATCAGACTCAGGACCTCATGCTTGCCAGGCAGGTGCTGCACCACTGAGCTACATCCATCGCCCTAATTACTTTTTTGATCTCTGATATTTTAATACAGTTGGTTCAAAAAGGGTACACACAAAAGATTGCTAGAAGTATAGATTTTTTTTACAGAGGGAAGGCACATTATTCTAAAGGGTTATTTTAAGCAATAAGCATGTCATTAAAACATTACTTTCTGTAATACCTTTCCACAGTTAATAGGATATAGACGATGAAATGACTACAGTGAACAAGCTACCTATTTATGAAACATTTATTTTGCCTCAGCTATTCTTCAAGAATCAGCTCAGTGTTTCCTCATTCACCCACTCTCCTTGATTTCTTCCATTGTGAAGGGATTTCCAATACTGTGAATCTCTTTGTTTTTATAACATTGATCATATTTGCCATGTTACAATGCAACAATATTGGAGAGATGAAAATAAAGACTATGTACATATTCTACATCTCAGCTGCAAGTTTTTCAAGTTTTTTGGTGTTTGTTTGTTTGTTGGGTTGGTTGGTTTTTTGAGACAGGGCCTGACTGTGTAGTTCAGGCTGACCTTGAACTCACTGTGATCCTCCTGCCTCAGTCTCTCAAGTGCTAGGATTACAGGCACACGCCACTAACCCAGCTCCACTATAAGTTTCTTAAGAGTAAGAATTGTGTCTTATACATCTTTCTCATTCCCCTCACCTTATTTTATATTTAAAATTTACTTACTGTTATTGAATGATAGATGTTAAAAATACATGGAATAAAAATATAGTCTGTTGAATCCAAATGAGAAGTGCTATGGTTTGTATCTAGATGTGCTCCAAGAGCCTCATGTGCTCATGGGCAATGCTGTTGGAGGTGACTGGATTAGGGGGGCTTATAGCTGACTTGCTGTTGGGAGGAGGTGGGGTCTGGTCAGAAAAGGGGGTCCCTGAGGGTGTGGCCTGGAAAGGATTATCTCCCTGTCCACTTCCTGCTTTTCTGCAGGCCTCCTGGTCATTCTGAGGTGAGCAGCTCTTCCTCCTTCACTCCCCTCTGCCGTGCTGCCTTGCCCGGGAGCTGGCTGATATGGACTGAAAAATCTGCAAACCGTGAGCCAAATAAACGCTTCCTCCTTTAAGCTGCAAGTGTTAGGTATTTTGTCCCAAAGAAAAGGAAAGTGACTAAGACAAGAAGTCAGAAAAGTGTTACTGACCTTGCTTGGCCTGAGTCTCACAGAGTCATCAGATGTCTTTGATTCAGATGTTCTGCTCCACTCCAGCGATGTTCCCATTTTTACCTTCACAGGGGAAGATACGCATCTGGGGACACTTGGTGGTAGTTCTCCTGGAAGAAAGTGAGTATGGCCCAATTCTTAGGGGTTGTGCTATTCTTCTGGAGATCAAATGTTGCCCATCAGTAGCACACACAACTGAGGGGACCTGAGAAGTAATACACTTTATACTTACTGAATTGTACTCACCCGCTTCCTCCACCACGATAAAAGATTCAGGTGTTCGTTCAGGAAGTGGAGGGGGGATTTCATCGTCTATCTTTGGAGAAGTTGCTATCCAGAATGTCAGAAATATAACCACAATTTTTGGTTAGAACAATCCAAAAGAATTTCTTATATTCTACCTAATCCTTACTATAAATTTAACAGAATGCGTGTTTAAATTCCATTAAACACCATTGACAGTAGTTTAGCTGGTACTTGTTCACTCAAGGAAAAATTAGAATAAATTTGTCTTTAGGTACAAACTCAGGAGGGTTTTTTTTATCCTTTAAAATGTATCATCTAGCTGGGCATGGTGAGGCATGCCTGTAATCCCAGCACTTGGGAGGCTGAGGCAGGAGGATTGTTGCGAGTTAGAGACCAGCCCGGGTTACAAAGTGAGCTCTAGGCCAGCCTGAAGTGCAGAGCGAGACCCTGCCTCAAAAAAAAGACAAAAAATAATAAAATAAAATAAAATGTAGCATCTATTTTAAAAGCCCAAAATTATTTTCACTGAGTCACTGAGTATCAGGATTGTTTTCTACATTACTCTTTTTTCTTTAATATAGAATACATAATAAAGTCCTGTAAGGCACTTGTATACGGCAAAGAGTCAGTTACGCTGTAACTGTATCCTTCTTTGTTCCACACAGAATCCAAGAATATAGATGTTTTCTGTTTTTACAGAACAACAGTTTTACATGGTTTTCTATTTCTATAGAAACATTCAGAATTTGTACAGAAATTTTAAGTGCTATTATGAGAAACTGCCACCAGATGGCCCATGCCAGTGTTGTTACAATCCCTGAAAAGAATTTAAAAAGAAAGAATTTTTTTTTTAAATTGTATTACTACTTTAAGAAGTCTAAAGTATTATGGTGACCTAGAAAAAGAAAATATCCTTAGATTGTAAAACAAGTCTGTAAACAAAGAATATAAAAGTGTAAAACAAAGTTTATAACAAAGTATATAAAATAATTTATTCAAATAAGAAACTTTCTAAATCCAGATAGTAGTTTTTGCAATAAAGCTACAAATGATCTACACATCTATAAAGAAGTTTTATACATGGGTTGGGGATATAGTTCAGGGCTAGAATGCTTACCCCGGATGCATGAAGCCGTGGATTCAAACACCCAGCGCACACGTGCACGCGCGCGCGTGCGCGCGCACACACACACACACACACACACACACACACAAAGAAAACTCTAGCCAGGTGTAATGATGCATGCATGCATGTATAATTCCAGTTCTCTGGGAGACTGAGGTAGAAGGATCTCAAGTTCAAGTACAGCCTGGACAATTTAGCAACATAGCAAGACCTTGTGTCAAAATAGAAAATTTTCTAAAAGGTGCGGGATGTAGCTCAGTAGGAAGGCTTTGAGTTTAATACCCAGTACCACACACACAAAACACACACACACACACACACACACACCTCTGAACACTCAATAATATTATTGAGCAAAAGTTTTCTTCACTTCCTACCTAAGTAGAATGATCTTTATAAATTATCTAAGAGTATTGAACTTGCTTTTTGCTTTCCCTCATCTTCTTCCACATAAATTGTTATAATTTGGGCTGGGGATGTAGCTCAGTGGTTGAGTGCTTACCTAAAATGCACAACGCCCTGAGCTCAATCCTCTGCACCACAAAACAAAACAAAATAAAAAGTATAATAATCTCTGAATAAGTATTCATTTCTACTCTGAGACAATTCAGTTAAACAAAACAATTACATAAAACATGCAAAAATCCAGAATTATAAAGGAGGTATCAAGTATGAAAGTAAAAGTATGTTATAAAATTCCATGTGAAACCGAAAGTACAAACAAGGACTAAAATTCCACACAAAACATTGAACAGATATTCTCATCTACTGAAAAAAAAGGCAGGAAACTAAGTTCTCCCCTTCCAAGTCCCACAGGAAAAGAATTCAATGCTTAACAAGATGTTCAACTCATTATAGCCACCCAATTGTACAACAAAAATTTTGGGTGAAGATGTGGTTCTGTTGATCAGATTTTTTTTCTGTGATTTTTTGGAAGTTATTTCTTAGGTGTAAACTGTGGGCCTCTGGTAAACATTTCTAGATGTGAGTTTTGCCTTATTAGAAGCTCTCCCATTGGCACAGATCCTGTACCAGATCTGACTGCCTCTACTACTGCCTGTTTCATTGACTATTATATGTCTGATGCTGTTTTCAACTTGTCGCATCTTTAAAACACTCCTGAAAGTTATTTCTTTGAGGAGGAAAAAGAAAATGAAAGACAGTTAAGCAGAGGAGGAGAAGGGGTAGCTTAAGAAGACATCAAATACTCTATAGAAGCAGAGTAAAATCTAAAATGGCATACAAACTTTAAACAATAACTTACCCATTACAGCTGCCTCTTGGTTCAGTCGTGGGGGAAAATTCGTCAGAGGATTCAATGCCAAAGAGTCACTTGAGTTGTAATAAGGAAAGAGGGTTGTAGAGGATGCTGGCAACGAAGAGCAAGGAAAAACAGTTCCGTCTTGATTCTCGAGTAAATCAAGAGACATCTTCGAATCAGCACTCCTTGGAAACAACGGTGAAAAATAAGGATCTTCTACTAAAGACATGCAAGAATATGCACACACAGCACCAGAGCCACGCTGCTTTGCATCTGAGGCATCACACATTTGGTGGGTAGAGTCAAAAGGCAGTGAATTCAGCTCTTCTGAAGAAACATGTGTCACTTTTTTAGCCTGGAACTCCACAAGGTAAGAATTGCATGCTCGAGATTCCAAACACAAAAAATGTTCCTTAACATCCAACTCCTCGGTTTTTCTCTGCTGTATCGATTCAAAGGGAGTTGATTTGGTTCGTATTATTGGCCCCTTTGAATTAAAACATGTTCCTGCTGCATGTATAGATTGGGAATTAGGACATGCACCCAACAAAATGGAGCCAAAGTCCAAACTTGTGTGCTTCTGAAGAGGTTCCCCAACCATTGATAATGTCTTTGTCTGCCATTTCTTGGTTGTGTCAACATTTTCATTACAACCATAATTTAGCTCCAAAAAGTCAAAAGACAGACTTGATTTAGCAGGATGCAAAGCTAACCCTTCCTCTGCACGTATTTCAGAGGTGCTAAAGTTACAGGAGGAAACGTCTGCATTTTCCACCTTCAACTTTCGTTTGCTCTGTTGGTTCATCATTTTTTCTTCTTTTATGGTACTGAAATAAATAAACAAAAAAGGAACTATGATGCCATACATCAAAAAGGCCTCCTCCCAGCATCACAATAATGTGCAAGGTAACACACATCTTGCAGACACAATTAGCCAACAGTTAGATACGTAACACGACACTTACCTTTTTGGTAAATTAGGAGAACAGGAGTCTGCTTGTAGAGTAGGATTTTGCCCAGGAATTGAATACTTTGCTTGAATCTTCAAGAGAAGCAAATCAGAGATTGGTTTGTAGTGGAGAAAGGTCAAGGAACTATTTTAACGTTCAGGAGGCCAACAAGTAATTTTTCAAAAAATATAAGGATCTAAAAATGATTCATGAAAGATTTAGATATGCTTCTAAAATATTGAACCCAGCAAGAACTTGTTCATATACTGAGTCTAAAGGACTAAAATAAAGGATTACTAGTGTCATTTAAACTAAAAAGAATTTGCTTATAGCATCATTTTTTTTTTTCAAATGTCAGAGTTTGGGCAGGGGTAACTTCAGTTTCTTTTTTTCTTTCTTTTTTTTTTTCCGGTACCAGGAATTGAGCTCACGACCTTGCGCTTGCCAGGCAGGCACTGTGCCCCTGAGCTAAATCCCCAGCCCCAACTTCAGTTTCAACAATACTCTACCTTCAGAAATTTTAGTATCGCAACCATTAGAGTTAACAGGTGCTTATTAAGCTTGATACCTTTCTCATCTTGTTTTACTCTTTTCCTCTATGTATACTGGTTTCCTTGTCATCCTTTAGCATGTCAAATTTATTTCCACATGTATTCACACTGATTGATACACTCTTTTATTTTGCAGGGGGGGATTGGTACACTCCTGCTCCAGATTTTGTATGGCTGGCTCTTTTTAAGTGATTAGATCTTTGTTTAAATGTCATCTGCAGCTGGGCGTGGTGGTGCACAGCTATAATCCCAGCACTCGGGAGGCTGAAACAGGAGGATCGTTGCGAGTTCAAGACCAGCCTTGGGCTACAAAGTGAGCTCAAGGCCAGCCTGAACTGCATAGTGACATCCTGCCTCAAAAAGATTAAAAAAAAAAAAAATGTCATCTGCATAAGGAGATTTTCCCTGATCACTCAACCTAATATATCCCCATGCTTACCTTGCTACTCTCAATCTTGATTGCCTTTATGGCAGTTACCATATTATGAAATTTATTAGTGCAGTTCATGGAATCATACTATTGTTTGCTGATTATACCTTGATATCAGAGATATTAAGATGTAAAAACACATCAGTATAATTTTAGGATACGACCTGTTATGACTTTGGGTCACCCCAAAGTTTTATTGAAATCTAAACCTTGACATCTGTATGATCTTACTCAGAATCTGGGTCTTTGCAGATGTAATTGGTCTAGGTGAGGTTGTACTGGACTAGAGAGGGCCCAAATATAATGACATGTGTCCTTATGAGCAGAGAAAACAGAAACACAGAGACATAGGAGAGCACCATGTGACAAGGAGGCAGAGACTGGAGTAATGTGTGTCCAAGCCAGTGAGTGTCAGGAATTGCCAACAAACAGAAACAACGCGGCAGGAAAGATGCTTCCTCTAGAGCCTTAGAGAACATGGTTCTTTCAACTCCCAGGCTTCAGACTTTGGGCTCCAAAACTGCTAGGAGATAAATTTCCATTGCTGTAAGTGCTCCTCGTTCGTAGCATTGTTATAGCAGCCCTAGCAAACTGATGCAGACACTTCCATACCAACATCCAATAATGGATAGAAAAGCCAGCCTGAAGTTCAATAAAGAAAGAGAGAACTGAAGAAAACACATTCTTCTCAAGTCCACACACATTTTTCAGGATTGTAAGCCATATGTTAGGGCACAGAACAACTCATAATTAATGTAAACGGCATCATACAAAGTATTTTTCCCACTCACAGTGGCATGAAACTAGAAATCAGGCGCTGGGGATTTAGCTCAGCGGCACAGCGCCTGCCTGGCAAACACGAGGTTGTGAGTTCAATTCCCGGTACCGGAAAAAAAAAAAAAAAAAAAACCCAAACAAGAAACTAGAAATCAATAACATAAGGAAGACTTGAAAATACTCAAGTATGTGGATATTATACAACACACTCTTAATCAACCAATGGATCAAAAAAGAAATTATAAGGGAAACTAGAAAATAGCCCTAGAGCCCAAAACAAAAATAGCCCATTCATCCAGAGACAAGCGTAAACAAAACACAACAAAAGAGAGTTTATGAGAGACAGTGATGCTGGGCGTGGTGCTGCACTCCTGTATTGCCAGAACTTAGGAGGCTGAGGCAGGAGGATTGCCACACACTTGAGGCTAACCAGGGCTACACAGTGAGTTCAATTCCAGTGTGAACTACATAGCAAGACCCCATCTCAGAAACAAACAAGAAACCTTCTCAACAAAGAAAAGCCAGTTTTCACTGATACATTCTTTTCCTTCCTTTCTTCACTGTCTCCCTCCCTATGTCACTCCACTTTTCCCTCCCTCTCTCTCTTCCTTTTTTTATTTTTCTTTTCTTCAATACTGCAGAGCCTTGCATATACTAAGCAAGCACTCTACCACTGAACTACATCCTGAATCCTTTTTATTTTTTATTTGGAAACAAGGGCTCGTTAAGTCACCACATGTGATAATATGATAGACCTGGAATACATTATGCTACATGAAATAAGACAAGTACAGAAAGACAAATGCTGGGCCAGGGGTATAGCTCAGTGGCACAAGCACCTGCCTGGCAAGCGCAAGGTCCTGCGTTCAATTCCTGGTACCAAAAAAAAAAAAAAAGAAAGAAAGACAAATGCTGTATGATCTCCCTTATATGTGAATTAAACCAAAAATCATACTCATCAAAGCAGAGTAGAATGTCCCTATCAAGAAGAGGAAGGGAGGATTTGGGGGGAGGTGTTGGTCAAAGGATACAAAATTTCATCTAGACAAGAAGAATAAATTCAAGAGATTTAGTATACAATATGGTGACTACACTTAATACAGTGTATGCTTGAATTTTAAAGAAAGTAGATTTTAAATGCAGTTATGAATCTGTTAAATAGCTTGATTTAATCATTCTACATGTATACATACATCAAAACATGTACACCATAAATATATATCTAATTTTTATTTAACAATTTTTAAACTTAGAGATTTTAATCAGACATTAGTAATCACAATTAAGGCTAGTGTAACCTAAAAAAAAAATCACTTAACTATGACCACTTTATATTTGTTACTCTCGCTTCTAAGTTGTAAACAGGGGTTGGGGATTTAGCTCAGCGGCAAAGCGCCTGCCTGGCAAGCGCAAGGTCGTGAGCTCGGTTCCCGGTTCCGGAGAAAAACCAAAACCAAAAAAAAAAAAAAAAAAAACAAAAACCTAAGTTGTAAACAGTTGTTTAAAGCGTGAGATCAGGACACACGACTACCCTGAATAAACTTTCCAAAATTAGCTTTAAATTGTACATTAATCAAAAGATTAATTTTCTAAGTTAAATTATCCAAAATTAATTCTCCAGTACAGTCTTATGCACACCTGACACTACAATTTAGCTGTGACAATACATAAGTCCTACAGCTAATCTGAGATCCTTTGACCAAAACTAAGTATGAAAAAAAGATGTCATATCTAGTTAAAGTTTACCTCTCTTGCAGACTGTTTATCTTCAATAACATCCATATGTCTCTTAAAAAGTTCTAATACAGCACTGTAGACCAGTTCATACTGTTCCTGAAGAAGATCACAAACCAGAACAAAAGAAGACAACCAAAAACCTGGTGAGCTGCTGAGCAAGATTCAATAGCCCCATCAAATACTAATAGAACAGATTTGAAAAGGCTATCAACATAGTTATTAAACTTTTTGCTTATATAGCCCCTTTCAGATTTCAGAACACTCTTAAGCTGCTAGAAATCATTAAGTATTTCATATAACTCTAACTAATATACACATATTTTGTGGCATATTTCTTTTATGCTCTAACCCAACTTGCTTATCTTTCCTTCCTCTATCATCCCCTCTAATTCTATTTTCTTTGTTCACATTTTGAAAAGTTTATTTCTCCCTAAATGTATTTTTGTAAACTATCTTCATCTTTCCTGGAAAAAGGTACATAATAGTTAATATATAGATAGGTAGCTTCAATATATGTTATCTAACTTCACCCTCACAATTGCTCCATGAAATAGGTAAGCTGTTATACCTATTTATAAACAGTCTTTCCAGTGTCATTCAGAAACAATTTCTGGGACTTGGCATAGACTGAATCTTCTAACTTTTAGTTTAGGGTGTGCACTTAGATCAAGTTGCCGAAATTTTGTCCTAGTAAAGAGACCATAGAAAAGTAAACCACTGAATAAGCTTTGGAAATTTGTGGCTTTATAAAGGTTTGCTGTAGAGAAATGAGACCTACTATTATAAGAAATAAGACCTACTATTATGGGTTTTGACTGCTCTGCTTTTGCCGCTGTACCTGCTCAAGTATTTTCTCTGACAGTGTACATAATCCTGTACAAGAACAACTTTTTAAACAGTGATTTCAGCAGGCAAGCCATGTAGAGTCTATATTACCCAGCACAACAATAGTACATGTTTTAACCAGCCCCCCTGCCCTGGTACTGGGAATCAAACTCACGACCTCGCGCTTGCCAGGCAGGTGCTGTGCCGCTGAGCTAAATCCCCAGCCCCTTAATTTTTTTTGAAAGAGGAATCAGGCAGGAAACACTCATCTGGTTACAGTGCCATTTCGTGGTTAGGGTAACGTCAGATAAAGCAGCTACAACTCTTAAGGTATTTGTTCGGCTAGTCATTGGTGACATCAGTGTGTGAAGGTCTTTTGAGCCATCTTTCAAACTTAAAAAGGAAGCCTAAAATGGAATTTTTCTGAATGTTGTATGGTTTTGTTGGTTTAGTGTTATAATTTATATAATATAAAGGTTGAACAGGGAAATAAAGGTTGCATACTTCCTGGAGTCTTTATGCATTTATGTGGATCATTATTCTTCTTTCAGGTCTGATAGAACCAAATCAACTAATGCTTTCATTTCACATAAACTTTCCCCCTCATAGGCTGAATATAGAAAACACCTACAGTCAACATGTTAAAAAATTATTTTTTTCCACAAGCTATTAGTGGAAAATCTGTGTGGGCCAAACAGATAGGTTTATATCATAATAGCTCTTCATTTTTTCCCTTCAGCTCACAACTTCTAGATTAAAATATCTAAACTGCCACTACCAATTGTTTTATCTCTAAACCTAGGTATAAGTTCATTTATAAGAGCTAGAAACACCAGATTCCGATTTGTTCTGTTCATTGTTATTTAAAAGTACCTCTAGAAAAACTAGGCAAAATCTCCTTCTATATCATAAACATCAATCAATATTTTTGATGATTCAGTTAGTAAATTCTGCCAGGCGTGGTGGCGCACACCTATGATCCCAGCACTAGGGAGGCTGAGGCAGGAGGATCATTGCGAGTTTGAGGCCAGCCTGGGCTACAAAGTGAGTTCAAGGTCAGCCTGAACTGCGTAGTGAGACCCTGTCTCAAAAAGACAAATAAATAAATAAATAAATAAATGAAAAAATTAGTAAATTCTAACTTCCATCTTTAGGATGGAGACCACATAGAAATATGGGCAAAAATATTGATGTAGAACTATAGGTAAAATTAATGCTGTGGACAGCAAGAGATTTAGGTCAGGCAGTGAAAGGAAGAGCATTCCTGATAGAAAGAATGTGGGCAATCTACAGGGGTTTCAAAATTATGAGGTATAATATAGTATGGTTGTAATTATGGTTTTCTAAAGAACAGGGAAAATACAGAAAAATGGTAATGGTGGCTTTCTGTAGGTGATAGAAATGTGGTTGTTTTCTGATTTAATTATCATCGCTTTCTAAAATGAATATATATGCTACCTTTGCCAGATTGTTACTACCTCCTAAAATAAAAAAAATTTAAAATTCCTGATTGTCTATGGCTTTAGTGATGGCTTTACTATCATAAAATTTCATGTTAGTGTGACCCTTAACATTATTTATTTCTAATAAGTTAAACAGCCTGTTGAATTTTTGTTGTTGTTGTTGTAGCCCAGGATGGCCTCAAACTCACAGTGATCCTCCTGCCTCAGCCTCCCGAGTGCTGGGATTACAGGAGGGTACCACTACACCCGGCTGCTCAGCTTGTTGAATTTCTAACATCCTTTATAAGCAAGAAATACTATATTGATTTCTTAACGTTTTTTAAACAGAAAATAAAATATAAGAAATGAAAAGAATTTGACCCAGGACAAGTGATACACGAAGGCCAGGTGTGGTGGCACACCTGTAATCCCAGCACTCGGGAGGCTGAGGCAGGAGGATCCCTGCGAGTTCAAGATCAGCCTGGGCTACAAAGTGAGCTCAAGGCCAGCCTGTACTGCATAGTGAGACCGTCTCAAAAAAGACCAAAAAAAAAAAAAAAAGTGATACATGAAAACTATTGGGATATTCAGAATTAGAGAAATGAATTGGGCTTTAAAAACGTTTTGTAGTAAATCACTGTTATATTTGAGCAGTCAGCTGTTTTTGTAAATATACAGATGGAGCAAGATTCAAACACATGTTCACCATAGTCCTTACCTGAGTTTGAACTAATGAAGGCCTCTGTGTTCGCATTTCCTGGATCAAACTAAAAACGCTGAAGTTCTCAGGAACTATCTATGAATAAAAGGAAAAAAATTTTATTCCTTTCTATCCTTTGTTAATACAGCATTGTCACTTTCTCGTAATCTTGTACTTCTGTGACATCTGCTCTCCTAGCATGGAAAAATAACAAAAGAAGAATGCGTTGGAAGAACAAATGTGGCTTCTTGTCACTTGTATTGTAATTTAGAGACCGGTGTATTTCCTAGAAGACACTGAAGAAAGCCTTCAGGTTTATTTCACACAGAGGTCATCACATATCTGAAACTAAAGACATGAGAGACGAGACTCAGCAGATAAGCAAGGATGACAGTTTTGTGAAATAACAGAAATGGGCAGATAGGTCCAAAGCCCACGTTTTAAACTTTCTACTTTCCTAATAGACATTAAAAATGATTTGTAAGCCAGGCATGCTGTGCATGCGTGTAATCCCAGCATTCTGGGAGGCTGAGGCATGAGGACTGCAAGTCTGAGCCCCACTCAGAATTTAGCAACTCAGCTGGGATTTAGCTCAGCAGCACAAGCGCCTGCCTGGCAAGCACAAGATCCTAAATTCGATTCCCAGTATCAAAAAGATAAAAAAAATTAAAAAAAAATAGCAACTTAGCAAGACCCTGTTACAAAATAAAAAATAAAAATGATGGGGATATAGTTCAATGTAAATGCCCTGGGATTAACCCCCAGTATCACAATATGATATAGATATTGAGATATAGATATGGATATGGATAGAGAAGTAGATAAGAATACAACATATGATTGAAGTTGAGTCCATCTGCTAAAGCAATTTGGTTTTTTTTTTTGGTTTTTCCTCCGGTACCAGGAACCGAACTCACGACCTTGCGCTTGCCAGGCAGGCGCTTTGCCGCTGAGCTAAATCCCCAGCCCCTGCTAAAGCAATTTGGATAAAGGGAAAATAATGATGTAATTTAGGACTGTGGCTCTTAAATTTTAGCATACATCAGAATCACGGGCCACACCTGCAGAATTTCTGCACCAGCCCATTTCTGCACCAGCTCCAGAATTTGTATTTCTAACAATCCTAGGTAATGCTGATGCTACTTGTCTGGGGACACTTTACAATCCTGGGAATCGAACTCAGGACTTCACAAAAGGTAAGTGAGTGCTCTAGCCCTGAGCTATACCCCCAGCTTCTGGGACAACACTTTTAAGAACCACCAACCTAGGAACTAATGTAATTATCTGATAGAGTAGGTCTACAAGTAAATTTTCTAGAAAAGATGAATCTTGAAGTTGTTTTGAACAACTATGCTTCAGTCTGAAAGCAATGGAGTAAGCAAATAGGAAGTACCTGCTGAGAGAAACTCACCCCGTCTTTTAGCATCATCCATGTATAATCAATGGCACAAATAACACCCGTCCTTCCACAGCCAGCGCTGAAATGAAAGAACACAGTAGATGTATATTTAGAGAGAATAGAACATTGACAGTAGCTGGAAATTTTCACCATCAGATTTGAGGGAGCAACCTGGAGCCTATGAAGAAGCTCTTCTAACTCTACCATTTTCCAGGGCACGTTTGTCACGCCACAATGAACCTCACGACAGGTCCCCAGCAACATGTCACAGCAAGAGTCACTAAAGCTGCACTGTTCACAAGTAAATCAGGAAAACGTGAGTTGAATGCTCAGGTTGAACTTCTTGTAGTTTGTTTCTGCTATTACCTTTCCCTTTCAATTACAGAATGTGGCCGGACCTTTGGGTTGCTCTAAGCAGAAGGTTCATACATCGCATCCTACCTGCAGTGAATGCATATGGGAACACTGTCATCCTCCTGGTAACAACGCATATCCCAGATGAGCTCAAGAATGGGGTCTATAGATGAAGGCACATCATGGTCTGGCCAGTTCTTATAATGAAACTGGTAGATAGTTCGAGTTTCCTATGAAAAGTAGCCGGAATGAGAGGAGAGTACAAGGTTAGGACGCTCATTCTACTAAAACTTAGTCTGAGCCTGGGCTGGTGGTGCGTGCCTCTGCCCCAGCACTCTGGAAGGCTGTGGTAGGATGATCACAAGCTTGAGCCCAGCATGGGCAGCTTAGTGAGACCCTGTCTCAAAATAAAAAATAAAGGGCCAGGGATATAGCTCAGTGGCATAAGCACTTGCCTGGCAAGTGCAAGGTCCTGAGTTCAATTCCTGGTACCAAAAAAAAAAAAAAAAGAACTGCAAAATAAAAATGGCTGGGGAAATAGCTCACTGCAAAGGTCTTGAATTCAATCCCTAATATAAAATCACCATCGTCACCACCACCACCATCATCATTATCAGCATCTGACTTAGTAGGCTCCATTCTATGTGTTCTTTTGGGCAATTTATTCTCTTTTCTTCTCTATAGGTCTCAGTTGACCAGGTGCCTTACAAAGAAGTGATTTGAGGCTAACTCAAACTGCCCCATTCACAAGAGGAGATAGATATGAAAATAGTCCAAAACAGATCTTCCCAGATAGTATGTCTTAAATGGGTCACAGACATGCTGATACACTAAGTCCCTTTGTCTTTAGAAAGGATAGATAGGGTTTAGGGCAGCCTGAGCTCACAAGTTGCTTCCCAGCCTCTCAGCACAGCTCACCCTCTTTTTACCCTACGAATACCATCATTTTATATGTGTGCCATGGTGTGGGGCAGATTGGGAAGCAGAGATTGATTACACCAGAGATCTCTTTTAACATGCAGACTTACTCAGGACATATTCCCCACTATTCCCCACACTCTTTTGCCCAGAACTGATTCACACACATACGTGTGTGTGCCCGGTCTCTGGTGCTTTTTGAGATTATCATTTTTGTCCTATACTTACACTGTTGAATTTGGCTTTTAGAGTCCTGATTATATAATCAGATTTCCTTTTTTCAGCTTCCTAAGAAGAAGAAGAAGATTAAAACATTAGCAATTTCAAAAGCAAAATCTCTACGAAGTAGATCCTGGAGGCTTTGCTCTGTCATAATGGAGCAGACATCTTACTTACACAGGATATGAAGAAAGGGCCAAACTGCAGCTGCATCTGTCCTGGCTCAGCCCAGTAGCGCTCACACTTTTTCTGTTGCACAAAGCAGAATATAGTGATTTCCCTTCATATATTCTATTCTGTTCTGGGAAATAGAGCCCATCCCCTTATACAGAAGCAGATTCAGCTCTATGTCTTTCACTTTAGGTTAGGCACTTCCAACCCCTTTGAGCTACAGCCCCAACATCATAATCTGGAATCTGCCAAAGATAGGAAAGCAAATATCAAAGAATATAAGAATGACAGAATTTCTTGAAGTCTGAAAAATTAGAAATAGGGTTTTTGATCTAGTTTTTAGCATTCCAAAAGAACTAAAAAAGAGCCACAGAAAAACAAGCAAAAAAGACATACAACAGCAACAAAGAACTAAAAGGAAGTATATGTATACTAAAGCAGCTGTACATGCCAAATAAAACACCTAGTTTCCTTGGTTTAAATCAAAATTGCCAAAAAAAAAAAAAAATCAAAATTGCTATCTCAGAATGGCAATGATAGTTTAGAACAGTGATGTCGAATAAAAATATGCCCATCACATATGTCATTTTAAATTTTCTAAGAGATACATTCAAAAATGAAAAAAGATAAAATTAATTTTAATAATATATCTTAGCCCATATATCTAAAAAAATCTCAACATGTAATTAACATACAAACATTCATAGATATTTTGACCTGTTTTTTAATTAATCTTCAAGATCCTGTATGTATTTATATATATAGCTCATTTTAATTAGAACACTAAATTTTCATTGGAAATATTTTTATTTAGATTTAAACAAAAGTTACATTTGAAAAGGTTGCATTTGCCCAAGTAGTCCTACACAAACTGAAAGTTTTCCAATAACTGAATTAAATACATTTTTAAATTTAAACCAATTAAAACAAAATAAAATGATTGAGTTCCTCCATCACACTAGCCATATTTTAAGTGCTTAATTAACTACATGCGGTTAATGGATGGCATTTGGGACAGCACAAGATTAGAAGCTCCAAGTAGCAGCTAAAGCTATCTGATTAATGAAAATGAGAAAGGGAATTGTTACTTTTAAAAGCATACTTTGGTTTTACTTTATTTTATTCATTCATTTTGGTTGTTTGAGACAGGCTCTCTTCGTTTCTCTGCCTTTTGGTTAAGAGCAAGTGTGGAGACAGGCTCTCACTCTGTAGTTCAGGCAGGCCTTGAACTATCTAGCAGGGGCTGGCCTCAAACTCATAGCGATCCTCCTGCCTCAGCCTACCACATGCTGGAATTACAGACATACAGCCCCATACCCAGCCTGTTTTTATTTAAACACAGAGTCTCCTGGGAAAACAGGCTTGTAGGGGTGAAAAATATCCTGGGTCACGTGGCATTCCCAAATCGAAAACTAGGAAGCCAGCATGATTTCTTTTATCCTAGGCACGCTTAAGATAAGTTCTGTTATCAATTTTCCCCATTTTCTTCACTGTTAGACCAACAGACACTCAAAAGTGACTCACCTTTCCCATTTCAAACTCCATACACGCCATAACAATGACCTATGGGATGGAACAGATCGAAACTTAAAATCTTTAAAGCTAGAAAGAAAGATACATGGATTCCAGGGTCAAAAAGTGCACATCATTTTTCTGCATTGCTTGATTTGCTTTTTAACCAACAAAGAGATCTTGATAACTTATATTCTTCCTTCTTTCTGTTCCCACTTCCTTTTTCTCTATTCAAATCAGTAAAGCCATGTTACCAAAAGAGCCTGTCAGGTGTGAACTTTCATTTCCTTGAACAAAAATGACATTGTGATTTTAATGAAAAATGCCTGACCCCTGAAATTCCAATGATCAATTAAAAAAAAGGCTGGATTTGGTAGATGGGTAAACCCATCACATCTTGACATTCTACGCTTCATCCCTGAGAACTAGAGAATAAAGTAACAGAAGCAAGTCTGCATTTACCAGAACACTGTATTCCCAAATCATCCTCCAAAAGTCCAGAAGAGTTGCAGGTAAAGGGCCCTGTGTGGCAATATAAGCCTTGGGTGCATACACTCCCTAAAGGGGAAAAGAAGTTACATTAAGTGTTTGCAGAAAATACACTCTTCTTTTCACCTAATCCTCTCCATACTGCTTTTATTTGTTTCTTATTTTTTGAGAAAGGGTCTCGGTATGTAGCTCAGGCTACCCTGAACTCACTATGTAGACCAGGGTGGCCTGGAACTCACAGTGATCTTCCTGCCTCAGCCTCCCGAGTGCTGAGATTACAGGCTTGTGCTACCATACCCTGCTCCATTCCCTTTTTAAAAGTTTCCAGAGAATTAGGAATACTTTTATTTCCTTTCAGTGTACCTTAATGAAGTTGGCATTGATGTAGCTAGAATCCTCATCAGATGTTATCAGGGACAGCTCTACCCGGCTATGATCATCTATAATAAAAAAGGAAGATCATGTCACTAGAAGGCTGACAGAGCAGGCTAAGTTAGGGCCCAACACTGTGAAGAGCGGGTGCAATTAAGTGTTGGCCTCTTTTATAGTCACAAATGAATGCATGCTCTGAGGTTATGAACACAAGCAGTGGGTAAAAGACAGAAACGCCTGAAACTGAGAGGAGGTACACATTTATAGGGAGAAATGGAACTTACAGGGCAAAATATCCTTGTATCTGTTTTTCTTTATATTCATGGACTTCTGAGCCACAGCTGTAGGATAGGTTTTGTCTGCCTTGAACTTGGTGGATTGTTTTTTCAGCTTCTGTAATAAAATTTCAAGACAAATTAATTGTCCTTTTAAGAAAGGAGGTAGAAAGCTATCTCTAGAGAATTTTCCTTCTCCATTTACCGAAAATTCCATTTCAACTGTTATTTTAGCATCTTCTGGGACTGATTTCATTAAGGACAGGACATAAGGACAGCAGAAGTCAGTGACATTTAGAGAAGTGAAAAGATCATACTTAACTGCAGCTGAGCCACAGGTCGCTAAAACTTAAAGGTGAAATTGGTGAATATTTAAAAGCATATATTCTCTGAAAGTAAGCTATATGTTCTATCCAATGGGAGATACTGAAAGTTAGGCTTACTTCCCTTATAGCTACTATTCAAGGTCCTGAGTTCGATTCCTAGTCCCCCAAAAGAAAAAAGAAACTATTCTACTAGTGAATTCTGTGTAGGCCCAGTCATTTTGCAAAAGAAGAAGGACTTTAACTTCCTTCTGACATTTTCTCCTTTCTTGTGTTTTATTAGTCTACATTGTCTTGGTTCTCCTCCTTCTCTGACTTATACCTTTCACTTACTAACTCTTTCATATTGCTTCTCTGTGCTTTTTTTGTCTTCTAATTGAGAAATACCCAAAGTTCCAATGTTAAATCCTCAATTCTCTGCTCTTCTCCCACTATATATGTATTTGCTCATATATATATATAGATAGATATAGATATAGATATATTTTTTTTTGGTCTTTTTGAGATAGGGTCTCAATGCACAGTTCAGGCTGGCCTTGAGCTCACTTTGTAGCCCAGGCTGGTCTCCAAGTCGCAACAAGCCTTTTGTCTCAGCCTCCCAAGTGCTGGAATTACAGGCATGTGCCACCACGCCCAGCCAGAGATATATATTCTTATGGCATAGCAATGTTTGTTAATTTAATGTATTAAAATTGGATTACGTTTCCAAGTCTCTCAAATTTCTTGATCCAAGATTTCTCACTATTTCAGAGTCAAATTCTCATCCATATCCTAGATAATTCCATATTAGTTGTGGTTTTTTATTCACTTGTTTGTTTGGTTTGGTTTGGTTTGGGTCAGGTCAGGTTGGGTTGGGTCGGGTCGGGTGAGGTGGCTTTTTTTTTTGAGAGAGAGAGAGGGTCTCGCTAAGTACTTCAGGCTGGTCATGAACTCACTATGTTTCTCACGCTGGCCTCAAACTTGCAGTGATCCTCCTGCCTCAGCTTCCTGAGTGCTGGGATTACAGGCATGCACCACCACTTCCAGGTGCTACATTAGTATTTTATTACTGCCTCAGATTCAGCACATTTAAAACTAAAATCAAGCTGGGTGTGGTGGCGCACACCTGTAATCCCAGCACTCGAGAGGCTGAGGCAGGAGGATCCTTGCACACGTTTGAGACCAGCCTGGGCTACAAAGTGAGCTCAAGGTCAGCCTGAACTACATAGTCAGACCCTGTCTCAAAAAGACAAAAAAAAACCAAGCCAACAACAACAACAGCAACAACAATAAAACTGAAATCAATGCTGTCCCCCTGCAAATATGAATGGCACTATCCTCACCCCAAACAACTATACTGTAGAAACTGAGTGTCACTTTGGGTCCCCCTCTCCACGGTTCCCACCTCAGTTTCAGTTACTGAGTTCAGCGGACTCTTCTCGTGCGCTATGTGGTGGTGGCCTTCCTTCCCAGGCCTACTGCCGACCCCTGTGTATGGGCCCTCTCCTCTGGGCATTCTTGAACGACCATTACTGCTCCTTAACTCCTCTTCGCACATTTCCTTCTCCACTCAAATTCGTTGAGCATAATTATGCCAGATTCATTTAATTTATGCTTTTCTCACCTCTCCTGTGCTCAAAGCAACTTCAGTGACTATTTTGCCACTAGGGAAAAAAAATCCTCAGCCGGGTAAGTCTCCCCTTAGTTGGATCCTAAGGTAACTTTCCTACACATCTCACTTGGCCAATAAGAAGCTTCTAAAAATGACTTGTAGGTTCTTTCAAGATTGCACAAATTCATGCCACGGACAATTATGTGAAATATTACTTCTTTAAAACTAGGCTGTTCCTTTTTTTCTTGTAAATATATCCTTGGTACAGCTTTCACAATTCTCAGCACAGGGTGAATTAATTAAGAGAAGTATAAAAATACTTCTCTCACGCGACCAGCTATAAGAAAAAAATTAAAGGGGATCGTTTCTATTGTTACTTAGTTGCTTGTATTTCCTATAGTGTTTTCACATAGTTATAGTTGTGTCTATATGTAACAGTTTACCTAGGGAGACTCACTAAGTGATTTTAACAAATGGGTGTGGAAAGGGGCTCTAAGTTAAAAATATGATGACACCGAGAAGAGAGAAAAGGAGAAAAGAGGAAGTAGAGAACAAAAATTTGACCCAGAAAATAATTCAATTCCATCCTTAGGCTTCAAAATTGGTTCAGGATAACTTGGTAAAAATCTAAGAGACTCCCAGCACATGGGAGGCGTCAGCCTAAACTAAAAGCAAAATCAAGCTGGGTGTGGTGGCGTACACCTGTAATCCCAGCACTCGGGAGGCTGAGGCAGGAGGATCATTGTGAGTTCAAGGCCAGCCTAGGCTACAAAGTGAGCTCAAGGTCAGCCTGAACTGCATAGCGAGACCTTGTCTCAAAAAGACCAAAAAAGCTGGGGATACAGCTCAGTGGCACAAGTACCTGCCTCACAAACTCAGGGTTCTGAGTTCGATTCCCAGTACCAAAAAAAAAAACCAACAACCCAAAATAATAAAAAATAAAAAATCTAAGAGACTCCAAAAGGAGAAGAAAAAGTTGAGATCATAACATGTTTTGAGCTGAGAGTTCAAAACACAATTAATTACCAACATCCACAGTCCAAATAAATTGATAGTTTATAAATACAATAATAAGTAGATCGATATAGGGATGTAACCTTCTTCCAGGTAAGAATACAAAAAGGAATGAACAACCAGTGCTTGCATATTGGTGTGTATATTGTTCTAATGACTATTTTTCCATTTTAGTGTGTGCTCAGACACAGGGATCCTATTCAAAGCAGGTACGCAGTCAATTCTTAAGTCCTAGTTTCTTACCCTGGTTTGAATTCTCATGAATTTTCACAGTTGAGTTTGGAAGGACAGAGATGCTGAACTGATGTTTGTACAGCACATTTTTATACCAACATGAATATACTAGGGTACTAGTTTGGGAGCTGAACTAAAGACATAGCACAGACACGTAGGAGACTACACAGCATTTCCACCCCTATTTTTCAGCTTTCTGTTCTTAGGCACCTTCAGTAAAACCATTTCACACTGCCCAGGCCTGCTGCAAAGATCTCAGAGCCCCAGAATGCTTTTTTCTAGAGATCTCCAGCAATGACTCCAGCACACTCTCCCTTGTTATAGTTTTTATTTGTTTTGTTTTTGCTTTCCTTGTGGAATGGTTTCTAGGAAGAATGCTATAGGTAAAGCCTTTTCTATAAAGTATGTTCATATGATTTTGATAAAAAATGTCACCAATAAAGGTTATCTATGTGCACAATCTCCACTTGTTTAGCCTTTACTGTGACCTTCAACAATGGAGCAGAATAGCTTTTTCCTTTTCCTAATCCTTTGCTCCTCCTGGGGTCATCTGGCCAGATGACAAAGGAGGACACTCAGCAAAACATCACCCAGGAAATACCTATAGAACAGTTTACTTAGAAAGTGTGAAAGATTTGATCCTCTCCCAAGAAGCCTCCTTAGAGTCAAGCACTGTGAAACCCTCCTCCTTACGTTCCTGTCCTCTCCCCGGCAGATCCCCAGGCACCCGCTCCCCAACAGATAACAGAAGAGTAACTTCGAGCGGAAGAACCGAGAAGCTGCACCAGAAAGGAGCGGACTCTAAAAGTAGGAAGCAAAAGGGTACAAAAGAAAAAGCAGGACCATGGTGGGGGCACTAGAGGACCAGAAGGAAAGAAAAGAGGTCAAATGGTGTAAGTATTTCTCTGCCCACCATGAGGTAGGAGAGGTGTTTCATGGAGTAAGCACCATCAAGAGGGATCAGGAAAAAAAAGAATAAAGTGCAGAGCCCAGTGTCGCTCAGGGGGCCCTGAAACAGGACAGAATCTGTGAGAAGCTACATATGCTTAATAAGCTTGTAAATTTATGTGGTTTCTTTTCAGGGAAGGAGAACAGAATTGGGGTCCTGGCCCTAAGACTCTAGAAATCAGGACCAAGTTTCTTGCATGTTCTTCTCGTAGACTCTTAAGTGAACTGAGAGAGGTGGAGAGGGAAGGGGAAGGAAGGGAAGAGAGAAGGAAGGAAGAAAGAGAAAGAAAGAAAGAACAAGAAAGAAAGAAAGAAAGAAAAAGAAAGAAAGAAAGAAAGAAAGAAAGAAAGAAAGAAAGAAAGAAAGAAAGAGAAAGAAAGAACAAAAGAAAGAAAGAAAGAAGAGAAAGACAGAGAGAGGGAGGAGGGAGGGAGGGGGGAACTCTGTGTGTCATTATATACAAGACACAGCAGAAACTGCACTTTGTCAAGACAGCACAATGATGCCAGCAACGTGTGGCCCTTCTGTGCTAGGGGAGGAGGGGAACCAAGCTTGTGCTGTCCCCAGAGCTCTCAAGGTAGTTCCCCAGTGCCTGACAGTTGCAGGCCAGTACTATACTAAGCCTCCAAGGAAACAGAGAAAGTATGAGAGCTAAGGCCTGGAGTTTGGAGCTCTGGCCTCTATCCACAGCTAGAAAGCAGGGGCTACCGGCGGGGGGCGAGGACGGGACAGCCCAGCCCTGCGGGTACTCACCATCGCCACTAACAAGCAGGCAGCCTCACGGGGCCTGCTTTCTGGTGTTCTGCTGGGGTAGGTGGGTGGATGGGGAGACAGCAGCCAAACGGGGTGAGTAAAACAAGAGGCTCAACTTCAGATACGTAAGGTATGAGGAAATGACGAGGAGTGTGTTAAAAATACCTGTGAATAACTGAAAATGTGGGACTCGATGGTCCCCAGTGAGAGGCTAGAGATGGAGTTGGGAGGAATCTGCTTCAGGGATGATGTAA